CTAGCCTTCCTTTCTCCTCTTCACTCAGCTTTTGACCATTCTCCTCTTGCCTTCGAACTTCTGCTACCCACTTTATGAATTCAGCAAAATTGGGAGGTAGATTTGAAAGAAGAGTAGAGAGAACATCTTTTATGTCCTTCACATTCTCAGAACTTAGGAGGACAGGAAGATCATCCATCAAATGCTTTGAGATAGAGACCCAACTCTCATGTTTACAACTCTGTAAGAGCACACTATTCAGAATGCATGAATAGTCACAGAAAGGAGAAAATCCAAGAGTATTTCGACAAAGTACATTCTTCCCTCTTTATAATAGAATATATCACATAACAAAGTACATATTAATTAGTTCTAAAGGACAATATTGTCAAAATCCATAAATATTGCAATGACATCATGGTTCTGAAGCAAAAGTTCAAGCTAATCTCCTGTCACTAAGACCAATTCCCAAGTATTTGACAAAGATGCCATCATTATGTTCTAGCATGTAATAAAATAGGTTAAAGAAGTGGTTTACAACAATCTGACCAAGCCGGTGTAATGAAAAGGATCAACTAGCAAAGGGACTAGCAGGCAGTAATAGGAGCTTGACTACATCCTTGTGTTACCAAAATTCCAATACCTTTAGCCACTAATGAAAACATTATTCAGCTAAACAAGAGGAAAATAAGAAAGCTTATGAGAGATTCAGATTTTGAATTGAATAGAAGTTGCTTGTTGTAGTTTATCCTAAGGAGTTTACTTATAAAACCAAGTGGTATAATACGAGCTACTTAAGCCTTACCAGGGTATATAGCAGTGCAGGAGCTCTATGAAGCTTAGAGACAAGCATAAACCTGAAAATTATGTGTTTGCACATAAGTCACTGAAATCCATGCTGCAAGTATGAGATGGAGTAAGAAGGACCGCTAAATTTGGACAGAAGAGGAATAGGAAAAGAAAAAAATGAAGAGAAAAAACAGTTATATTTGAAGAAGACCAGAAGCAGTGCTGAAACAGTTGAGCAATCAATTTCTTTGATTTCCAATTTTCATCTTTAATATAAGAGGGAAGACCAAATCACATAGTAAAACATCTTCCTCTACATATTTATATTCCTAAGCAAATGCTTAGAAATTATCAGTTGACAGCTAAAAAGCATGAATGAGACGCTGTTCAAGGTAAGGCGGATGTCAACAGCTTATAATGAAAATCAAGATATATCACACTGTAGCTATGTGGAATTATATACCCCCTATGTAATCCTGTAGCTTCATCAATTGTGTTCATGGCTTCCCAAAGGAGAGGGACGGGAACCCAGTGAGGGGGATATTTAAACCTTGCAACATCTAGAATCAGTGCCATATCCTTTTCCGCGTGATAACCACCAATAGGTGAAAAGTGGCCTGAACCTGTCTGCCATAAGATTCAGAAGAGATGTTCCAATCTTCAGGATAAGTCAAGAAGGGGTACTATAAACCTTCATAAATAAACAATTAGCAATATTACCAATAATATTCCTGAGGGACCAAACTCCCAATACAACAATATACTTCTTCACAATGATAAGCAGGAGCATAGAGAAGCTATGTTTATATTTACCTGTTTAAAAAGTCCTCGATGATAAGATGAGATCAGATGACAATCATCACTAGTTGTGCAGGCCATGATATGTTTACGGAAGTCATCAATGGTGCTAAGATTAGAGCGAAAAGCTTCCACCTTCGCTCCTGCACAGTGAGCCAAACATACCACTTTCCCAAAGGAGATCCCTTTAGCTTTAACCTTCTCCAATGGCTCACAGCAGTCCAACATGGATTCATCGAACCATCTCCAAGGCCCTGACAGTTTGTTGAAGCTGATAAGATAAAAGCAGCGACATTGTACGACACTAAAAACGAGCTCATTGACGTAAGCAGAATAGGACAAGGATATGACCAACCAAGTTTGAAAGAATAGAACGTGCAGCATCAAATAGTTTCAGGTGATGAAAGCTAAGAACGTAAAAGCTGTCCTCAATTCACTAAACTCCTTTTTTTCAACCTTTGACTCTTGAATATCAGTAGACAATAGTAACAAAGTATAACCCTGATATATAAAAGTGGCTAGGTTTCATGTTGAGTGCTAGATGATCTGAGAGTGATGTCAATGCATCACAACAAATCATATCAACTTACAACGCTCAGAGACAAGGCACCAACAACTCTGTGCTTATATTTTATAACTAACATGAGCAGGGGATAGGCAAAAATTATTGGAAAATACAAACATAAAGACATTTTCATCAAAGAAAATAAACATAAAACTTAAAAGGAGCCCAAGACCTTATTAACAATTCAGGAGATAAGGCCATGAAAAAGTGAAGATCACAATCATGAGGAAGGATAGGAACACAACTTCAGTAGATGATAGGTTATAGGAGAATTACCTTTCCATTTTCTTCCGGGATCAATAGCAAGGG